TTGTGGCATTTGCTGCAGGTTTAGGTATTGTTATATGTGTTGTTATAAATACTCTGACCATTTCTCAATACATTGATGATATCTCAGGCATAATGGTTCGGCAATTGGTTTTCGTGCCCATTGGATGGGCATTGAATAATCCCTCCAATATGCGAATTCTGCATATCCTACCTACACGCAGATGATCAAGATACATAACCCGAAAAAGAACGCTCTTACCGCCAGATTTCATTTCCATTGCTGGATATCTGAAAAGTGCGACAATTGTGATGCCTCACAAACTGACAAATTTCAAGGCTATGCTGCTCTCACGATTTAAACACTCCCAATGGGCGTGTTGTCCCCGACTGTCCGGTAAAAACTCACCAAAATACTATTGCACTGAAATAGCGCTCTGTGAGGCAGGTATAAAAAGCCATAGCTGGATGCTGCAGAAACCCCACATTCGAAACCTTGAGACGCTTCCTCTCAATTTCACCTTTGAATAATGGCGTCTCAAGAACAGTATCCGCTAAGTTCACTGAACTGCCTTTCTTTGCTGCTGAATATGGGAGTCAAGGCATTGACTCACCGCAAAATTTCCTCAAGATCCCAGTGGAACATTGTCATACAGACGGAAGCACAGTGCCTTTGAATATTTACAACAAAGTCGAGCTGTACATAAAAACAAACACAGATCTTGTCAGTTTATTAGGTTAGTGCTATCTTTCGAGAGCGTCATCAAGTTAAATAGCATTCTTGCTTTACAACCCGATTTACAGGGTGGAAAGCCACCGACTCTTTGCTTCTAGCAATCTTGGGGATTATTTAAGCGGGACCCTGTTCCATGGTATTTCAGCATATGCATTGCATGAAGCCAAAGCCACATCACCGGGCAGGCTGAATCACGTCCGAACTTCTGCGCACACTAGACTCTTCGTACGCTTATTTATGCACACAAATAAACACCGATCATCTGGGGTTATTCAGACGCTGCCACTTTAAATATAACATTTAACACTTATGACAATCAGAATAATTTTAGATTTTTCCAAGCAACGGCAATCTAGAAACGTTGCTCTATGTTCAGAAAATAATACCACTTAACGATAAACAATATTCCGTATATAGGCACTAACTCATACAAATTATCATAGATTCAAACACCAGTTTCAAAGACTGGAAATCGAATCACCCCCACTGCTAAACCCTATCTACGAGCAGATTCTGCGACTACACTCCAACTGCGTGAATGGTGTACAAAAGCTTAAGATTTTAGAATATCTTTCAAACTTAAATCAGTCAGTTTCAAATACAGAATGACTCATCAAAACATCACCTCTTCAACTCTGAGGTAGACATGTCTGTAACCATCGATTTGGCCTTTACCCACCCTACAGCCATCAATTACTTACTCGTTGTACAGCAGTGAGGAAGCTGTGACGACAAATGTTCTGTTTTGGAGGCAAACCAATGCGCCGTGTCCGTGCACCTCATCGGGGTTTCCTGCAAGGAATATGACAGCCAGCCATGGATGGAGTTCGGCAGTTGTCGCCTGACCATGCAGCATACGAAAACCTCTGCTTACTCCTTGTGGCTGATTGCACGAACAACGGCAGGCCGAGATCACCTATAAGTGTTCACGTGACTCTGGTCGATTCTGACCATCCCTCCTACCGACGTGTATGCAAGAATTAGCAAAGCCACGACAAGTAGCTGTTCTCCAACGTAGCTTCGTCCTTTCATTATCAGGGATATGGAGTTCGAGCAGCTTATTTCAACTTTGCTCACAAATGCCAACACTTTCAGCAACCCGGCCTTTTATGCAAAATTTCCAGGCGCTGATTGGCTCCCCTTTACAGTGAACGAATCAGCGAAGCTCGATCATGACTCACTGACTCCAATTTTGCCACTGCCTAGCATCGTAAGTTTTTCAGTAGCCGAAAAACCTTGGTTTTTCATGGCAAATATATTCAGGAATTCACCTCTGATTATTTCTACCGTATTTTCCAAGAACCCCAGGAGCAAAAGTCATTTACTAAAACGTATTTGGAGAAATTCGACTTCGAAGTGTTGCTAAAATAAAAAAATCCTTTGGCGGAATTGAGTGAATCTGCTTTAAACCAAACTCACTCAAAGCAGATGAGGCAGTGCCAGTAATTCTAGAAAAATATAGACAGAATGCGAAGTATCTTGAAAACAACTACAGGTTAGCGGATTCTAACTTCTTTCAAAGAGTCTTCCTCCAACATTGGAGCAACATAATATTTTCTGGAAGAATCATATGATCATTAGGTACAGACGTAAAGCTGAAAGTCTGAAAAACTAAACCGTTACAAAGTGTACTTTACTATGAATTAATTGCGCAGTAGTTTCATATTAGCGTCTGTTAATTAGCGCCGTTGTTTCTTTACAGTTTTACGAGAAATCATGCCCGCCATTGGTCATTTCGCAGGTAAAACTAACAGAATGAAAAGTATTCTGGCCTCCATGCAAGTTGGGAATCACATTGCACGGTGAATTTCAAAATACAGTAATATTTTCTAGGACCGCGAATTCGGCAGAAACATCGCATTCGATCATGCGGTGTTCTGCATCGGTTAGACAAAGGGCGCATAGAATAATGGAGCGAATTCGAACAAAGGCCTCGTGGCCGTAGGAGACGTTGTGTGCACCTGCAAGATGGAATTTGCC